CACACCACAACCTGCCACTAACTTGTAAACCCCTTCTATTCAATTAAACACCATTCAATGCGTTTATTTATTGTAAAACCACAATTGGGCTTATTTTAATCTCACGCACGCACACACAACACCCACACCACAACCAACTTCTCCGGCCTCCATCTTCTGTTTTCATTTACTCGCTTCGTTATCTGCAGCTTCAATCTTGTAGGGCTACTCATCTCGTTTCTTGTAGCCCTTCGAAAGGGTTTTGGAGGTTGATTGGCCTCGTGAACGTTGTTTGCTTCTTGTCCGCAGCAGTGCATGGGAAAGGCAGTTTTCGAATGTATTGAATGAATCAAAGTGGGTCGGTCCCGTGATTTTTTCTCTTTGGCTCCCAACACACAGGTTGGCACGGGGGTGCAGAATAGTTTCCCCCTACTTTTTGGTCCCCGGTTTCTTTAGTAGAATTGTTCGTTCGGGTAAATGAGATGGGATTAGATATTTTATTTTTAGTTTTTTCTCTATCTTGTGAGCTTCCCAACGTTCCTCTATACAGTGTTGTTTCATTCTTGTGAATGCGCGAGCTGATGACGGGTCACGTCCAAGACGAGTTACCTTTTTTTTTCCCTCAATTTGTGTGGAAAATTGGGCGGGGATTAAATGGCGTTACTTTTTGATAATGTGGCGGGCCTTTTAGAAATCTCGCAGCCATTATTGCTGATTATTGCGGGTTAAATTTCTGGGCGATCGCAGAATTGGGCCGTTTTTTCTGGAGGGTCTCTAGGTAAAAAAAGAAAATGCTTCGCGGGCCTGTTTGGCTATTTTGGGGTTTACTCGTCGGCAGTGACTTCTCCACACGCACAACGAGAGACAGTGGCACTTTCTTGGGATGTTTAAGGACGGTGGAAGTGGGTAGTGACATTTTTTAATCCCTTATGCAAGCTGGTTGTGGTTTTTTTAGTCGAGGTCGACTTGTTTTAAAAACGCAATGCATTAATGTGCTAAACATTCACGGAGTAATCCACATGAATCAAATGGGAATAAGGGTTTTTAACACAGCCACGGAATAATATTGCCAAACTAGTTAGTGAATATAGCAAACTTTATTCAATAAGTCAAGTATTTACTCCCGGAAAATGTTTATGTATGATGATATATTGTTAACTTAGCTCACAATGGAAACAACGTCGGACATCTACAAACGCGTCCTGTATCCGATCTCAAAATGTGCCATTTGCACAATGTGTCATGTATGCAGCCCTTGTTTTGCACTTGCGCGCATGTCGCGGCACTTTGCGAGCGTCTAACGGCTCGGGCTGCATTTTACACCGAACATATAATATACCGTTCTAAACATCTATTTGCCGCCGAACGCCACCTCGCTCAAGTCGACCCAAGTTATACCGTCATATACCGTATACCACGGTATGATGTCAGCAAGGTATGACGGTATGAAAAAAATGATACCGCCCAAGCCTAACTTGAATACGTTATGCAAATATGCAACTTGTTTGTTGAAATGTTAATAAATGGGAGCTTCCTCAAACAGCCATCTCTTTCCCGACAATCCCCTCTGTGCACTTACATATGGTAATTAAACATTAAAACACCTGCGGCTTATAGTCCAGTGCGGCTTATATATGTACACATCATTCAATTTAGCTGCTGCGGCTTATATTCAGGTGCGCCTTATAGTCCGAAAATTACGGTAGATGTTATTAGCAAAATTAGAGCTACAACCCAGCTTCCGGCTTTGGGCATTCTGGCTACGCATCACTCATTCACCAATGGGTAATGTTTAGATGGCTTTTAGGAACTTCCCCTCGATTCTATTGGCTCTAACGGTTCAAAAGAGGTGTCAATCATCAAAATCGACCAAGGGCGGCCAGAGATATGGCAAATGACCCCAGAAGTGGGTTTATTTTTCTAAATCTCTCTAAAAAAGGTCAAATGTCACTTGTTTTGCATCAATCTTGATACAAGGTTCCTATTATATGTTATAGTTTGGATTTGTAAAGCTTTTAGTCTACTATCCCATCATTCAAGGGTGGTTTTCACTATAAGTCAATTGTTTTGGGAATGTCATTTTCGAGCCTGAGGCCTGAAAAACAGGCTCAGGGCTTAACTGGTTAAACAGAGAATTTGATGACGACTTTATAGTTTTGACTATAATATACATAATGTAAGTAGGCAGACAGTAAGGCATGTCATGTATAATGTTGTTTGAATATGCTCTTCAGTGCCCCCCTCAGCCTGTGAGCCTCTGGTGTGGTCGTGTGCTGAGCTTCCCAGTGACGGCCAGACAGTGGCGCTGCTGGCCAGCGTGTTGGAGAACCCTCTGGAGTTTTACTGCCGCATCAACAATCCCACAGGTAGTGTTGTTTGTCCATCATAGGGGGCTGTAGATTATTTCATAATTTACTGCACTCCCAGAATGATGGACATAAATTAACAACGTATTTTAATTGATGTATTGTGCCAAGCTTATGTTCATTTAATTTCCATCTAAGATTTGATGATTTGCTACTATTATACTTTAATGTGTCCTTTTTCTCATCTTGTCCATTGTCAGACCATCAGCGACTGATAGAGCTGGGCGCTGAGTTGAAAAAGCATTGTGAGGCACAAGCCTCCCCTTTTGAGCCCAAAGTGGGGGAGCCCTGCTGTGCCATGTTTCCTGGTGAGATCATTGACTGAACTGTTGAAACATAAAGGGCTTGAAACGTTGGCATTCAAGTCGGAACAAGATATTCATTGATCTTGGTTTACAATGCTATCTGGATCAATGTATTGTTTTTAAATTCAATGCAGTTTTTACATTTCATCTGCAAGTTGAATGCATGATCTGTTGACAAATGGAACTTTTCAAACAACCTCTATCAGATTATATTCAGAATTCTCCTTTTTATTTTCTGTTTTTCTGGGATTTACTTTAACATGATGAGCTTTCTCGCTCCCCAGGTGATGGAGAGTGGTATCGGGCTTTGGTCAATGAGCTGGCTAAAGAAGTGTCTGTAAACTTTGTGGACTATGGTTATACCATGAAAGTGGAAAAGAACCACATTCGATCCATTACACCTGGACTCCTGACTCTACCCTTCCAGGCAATTCGCTGTTGGCTCACAGGTAGGTGTGAGAGAGGGAGGAGAGTGTGAATAAGAAAGGAAATGAATTCCTTTTCTCCATGATGAGAAAGTAGCAGAGGGTGTTTCTGGGGGGCATTTTCACCCAGGTTGTGTGGTTTCTCACAAAGCTTGTGTGTGTTGTGTTTGGACTCAGGTGTGCAGCCCCTGGGATCTGAGTGGAGCAGTGAAGCACTGCTGTGGTTTCAGAATCTTGTGGACGGCGAGCAGCTCTCTGCACGGATCCTCTCTCTCACTGAACAAGGCTACGGTGTGGAGCTGGAGAGCAGAGGGCACAATGTGGCCGCTGCTCTTATCTCGGAGCAACTAGCCATAGGTCCTGAAGGGATTCCCAAAGAGACAACCTCAGACTCTGGACAACAAGAGAAAACACAGGAACATAAAGAGACCCAAATAATTGTGCAAGCCTCCACACCGACAGGAGCCAAAGAGATACCAACTGAAGGGCCGACTGCAATGCCGTCAGAAGGTCAGATAGAGGGCCAAAAGGTGAAAAGGAATGGTTGATGTTTTTAGCTGCCCTGTTGCAATTATGTGTTGTTGTTTTTGTCATAGTCCCATCTTTCCCAGTGGACTGGAAGACAGTGGAGCTGCCTCTTAACGACACCTTTCAGCCCTGCTTTGCAGCAGTCACCAGTCCTTCCCTCTTCTACCTGCTCGCCCCCAACCAGGGTAAGAACACTTGGATTTTTTCCCCCGTCTGTCATAAGAAGATTCACAAATGGTTAAACGTTACCACTCTTTCTTGTTGTTATTGTGGTGTCTTGTTGTGCAGTGGACCACCAGAAGCTTCAGGAGGTGATGACGGAGCTGGCTGTGTACTGCAGCAACATCCAGGCCTCCTTATCCTCCACTGTCCTGAGCAGACCCACATCTGGAGCTGCCTGCTGCGCCCAGTTCTCTGGTGAGGAACACTTATGGCGCATTCACACTACAGCGCGGAGCTCGCTTTAAGCATGCCGAGCCGTGCGGGGCCTGTTTTTGGTTGTGCTTACACTTGGCCTAGTTCTGGCCTGGGGCTACTTTTTCACCTTTTTTCTGGCCCGACTAAATCGTGGTTCTATCGAGGCCAACAAACAGGGCTGAGTCGGGCTGAGTTTGCTAAACTAGAGAGAGAATCGCTGTCAAGGGGGCTACAACTACAACAAGATGAACACATTTTACCGTGATTTAATTGTAATACACGTTTCAAAGTGATGCCGAAGTAACAACTTACTGATACCGGTTATTAAAAACCATGAATTAATGCTTTGACAAGTCGGTAGGCGAAAAACCTTTTAAAATGCGTGATCTTCTTATTATAGACACATGCATTTCCAAACATTTGGTCAACCTACGCTGTAAAATGTATTATCTCTTTGATTTACACACGGCATCTCTGTCTGTCCGTCCTGGGAGAGGGATCCCTCCTCTGTTGCTCTCCCTGAGGTTTTCTCCCATTTTCCCCTTTAAACTGTGGGTTTTTCTCCAGAGGTTTTTCATTGTACGAT